CTTATTTGACTTTGTAAATATAAGTTTAAACTTACATTTCTTCACAAAAACGGGACAGAGGTTTTCGGACACAGTTTTAAACGTTAAATTGGCTTAAAAGTCACCAAACCGCTTTCATTTTAGCATAGACAAATGGATATTCAATTCTATTTGTCTATTATAATAGCCAATTTTCCGGGAAAGAACCCATCTTTGGCAACGTCCTAGAACCGCCACTGTAACCACTGCTCAAACATGAAACTTCTTTCATTCTACAATCAAAAAGGTTCTAGTTATGATGAATGTTTTTCTTTGTTGTTCTAGTACAGACGTCTTCCACAAGTTAAAGAAATCCTGGAGGAGTATCAGTACAATTGTAAACTGCGAGACATGAACAGCTTGCCCAAGAAGTATCCTTTGATAGTCATTGAAGCCCCACGGAGAAGAAGTGAGTGTATTATTTACCAAAACCGTATTTAAAACTTTTTCATTTTACTATACTTGCAAATATTTTATTCATACCTATACTTACCTATCTACTATAGTATTTTACCTATACTTGTGAATATGGTAAAACCCGAGAATAAAAAAATCTATGTCCTTTAAAGCTTCTAGAATCACCATTGATTAGAGAATGTTCATGTATTTCGTAATCAAAAACGTCACCAAGAATAAATATACGAGTTAAATTTTACAAATAAATAACATAGTTTCAATCAGCTTTTTAGCAGTGTAAAGGGAAAATTTATACTCAAACAAAGTATAAATCTAATAAATTGTTGCCATGAAGACTTATGCCATCATAAGCCCAATCTCAGAACTTTAAGAATGTAGCCAGAGCTGTACGTGATTTTAGTATCTGGAATAAGAAACTAAAAAACCTTTCCAGGCAAATTGTAGATCATATAACTTTCACAATCAGTCAGATATGTTTGGTCGTACAGAAAGGACATGCAGACAAACATATATGGTTATGTTTATTTGGATTTAAGTTTGATTATGTTTCTAGTTTCTATCAAGTATCTTTACAATGAAAACTCTATAATCTGTTGCATCTGACAAAATAATAAAAGTTAAGGGGTTCCTAACTTTTTCAAACAGTCGATAAATTATTGCACAGGTTTACTTAATTTCAACCCTTTGTAAGTAAACGTAACTAAACTAGTATCCCAGTGTGTTGGTGCAATTGGGGCCTAATATTCAACTTGGGTCTACATACAGGTGCTCTAAATACATTTCCAGCAACCTTAACGATATTAATTCTTCAACCAACTCACTTAACAATAACGAGGAGATACAAGTTTTGTTTGTTACCAGAGCGGTTCCTCGTAGCCAAGCGGCTTGCCAAGGAGCTAGACGCAGCCATCATGTTCAGTCCTCCACTAGGATGGTCCAAGTTTAGGGAGGCGTTCAACAGGTCCATAGAGATGAGAAGAGCATTCCATTCCCTCAGTATTTATGGGTCTGCAAACAACGCAATGCAATATCTGGGCCGTAAACCTGTTGTTATGTCAGGGTAAGTGGTAGCACTGGGCTTGGATAGAGTGAATGCATGATATAACATGAGCAATAACGTACCCAGTTATTCTTTCAAAGAGAACTTAATTAAATAAGTACCATTCACATGTTAAGCTGAAGCTAGTTTTTTTATGAAAATGATGGTTGTTGGATTGCTCTGAGGTTTAGAGTTGGATTTTTGTCACATAAGCAAACTTTTTAAGCAAGCCAAACAGACAGGACAGCTTGTTGTGAATTAAATACTTTTTGTAAAAGGGCCATAATAGGTTTGATTTTGTTTAAATAGGTAGAACAGTAAGTATCTGTACATGTCTGTACCTACATTATGTGAGTCTATTTTTAATAGGAAATCCTTTGAAATACCGGTAGTCTTACACCTCTTTTTCAATCAAAGAAAATCTATTTTTAGTTGACAACCTTCCTTTCTTTGTGATTGACTAAGTGAGGCCGTGAAATATTTCAATTTTGTGTGTGTAGGCTATATAAATGCGTTTCCTATTGAAAACATTCAATTACCTACTGTACATAGGTAAGCCTGCTCTTCCTGTTGAAACTATGTGAAACCTTTTTGTAAACTATGGCATGTGTCACATAAACTATAATATTACATACTGAAGGAGGATATAAAATTTGACAGTAGCAATAGGGAGGCTTACGTTTTCTCTACTACATGGTGAGGCAATATGAGCGGCCCAATTTATAAACAGTAAAAACTTAATACTACTTACCCTATACATATAAATAGCACATTAAAACAGAGCTTATCTTATACCATTTTAACTTGATGAAGTATTTTTTCTATTTCTTGAAAACAACGTCATTCAAGTGACGTTCTTGCCCTTGACATTTCTTTAACCCCTTAAAAGTTCTAACAAATACTCGTACAAGTATTTCTTTAGGAATCACTTAAATACCATGGGAAATCCCTAGCTTCAGCTCAAGAAAATCTCTGGGGCAATTTTGTAACAGTTGACTTTTGTTTGAGTAGTTTATAAGGAGAACTTTTATTTCAGATTTTGGATGGACCAAGCAACATTTGCAATCGCCAAGAAGTATTTCCCCAACTTCCCTCCCCAAAACTCCTCCGTTTTCCAGTGGCCCAAGGATCTAATTAAGCCAGACTACACTTTCTTTATCAACGAGCCCCTACCAAGATCATTCACCGAAAACAAGGAGGAGTCGATTAGATATCAGTGAGTAGTTTGTAAAAAAAATTAATTCCTAACCTAAGGAGCAACTGCTTAGAAATCGTGTTCTATCAGTAAGAAACAAAAATTAAAATTATTGAAGGTTCAAAAATAAGTTAATTAGTCGTGTTAAGTACTGTTGATTATTTTTTAAATACTTTTACTAAAATAACCGTTTTCTTTCAAAACGTAAAAAATCCATTTGCGAATAAAACAAACACAAAAAAACTATTCAAGAACCAAAAAGATTCTACAAAAAGGGTCTACAAAAGAAGTATTTTTAAATGTAAAAGAAATACACCAAAAAGATAGTTTAGAGGAGTTACATTTAAAATGTTGCCAAATAAATTCTTGGAACATATTTTTCAATATTTCCAGAAAATTGCAAAAATCCAAAAGATTTTGGGTTTGAGCTTCCAAGATGAGACTAAAATCCGTCAATGAAGTCAAAACCAAACCTCATGGGGTTTAAACTTGTATGTTGAAAATGCGATATGTAGATTAGACTAGTAATAACTGGTTGAATTTTTATTAAGAAAATTTGAGATAAAGAAAACCTTCTAACTAATTTTGTGGTAAATATGAAAAATCCTTGAACGGAAATGTTTGTGGTCAAAACTACAGGATACTTTAACATAAAATTGCAATATATTAGGCATCAAGCTTGCACTAAACCTTTATCACAAAATGTTTTTATTGTGCCAGGAAAAGACCAAATGCTAATATGAGTTTAAAAAAAATACTGCAACTCATTTCAAAACAGAAATGTCACGTTTCAGTATATGGAATCTGATCCCATCTGTCTTCAGAAGGGAAGAACCCTAAAATCCTTTGATCATCTTATACTCAATATCGCTAAAGAACTTGCTAAACTCATAGTAAGCAGATAAAAATCAACAGAAAATTTGTTTTTCTCTAAAACAATACATTGTGTGCTTTCAGGATTTTACAAGTGTACAGGCATTGGGCAGACCCTCCTGTCATAGAACTATACATGGATGATGAAGTAAAGGTTGCGACTACAGTGGAAGATATTCTGAGATATATAAACAGTCCGCACTCAACAACAGTTCCATCTGAGTCATAAAAATTAAGAATGATATTAAATTTAAACATTTTGTTCAATTTTTTACCTTTATCCATTTCAAACTTGGATAGAGCATTTTTTATTTGAAGAAGTTGTTAATATTCCATCTATTTTGAAGGAAATAGTTTGATAGGTTGATAGGTTTGCAGGAAATAACACAATATTGAGATTATTTTGCACTGCAATAATTCTCCATTTTTTTTGGATTCTGAATTTTTATCTTGGTATATTCCTATGCCTATAGCATTTATTTTGCTTTTTGTAAGGCACCCTCAAAACTCTGGTCTTACTTCTTATACTAAACCTTTTGTTAGGAAGCTTCATTGATTGGTAGCCCAATGATAAAATGGCTTCCGAGTTCATAAAAAAGTCTAATCATCAAAATCATATTTTTTTGTTTTGTTTTTCTCCATATATGCATATATGAAGAAATTTTAATCTATACTAAATGTTTAACCCTGACATATACGTGGTATAGTGTGGTTTATTAATCCTCAAAATACACAGCAAAATAAAATAAAGCAATTGAACAATGCATTATTACTTTTCAAGAGGCCAACCATCAAAGAACGATTATCAACAATTGAATCATTTTCTGGAATTAAGGTACCTATCTATTTTTCAATTCTACTTGTGTCCTCAATGTTATCCACTTAAGTTGCATTTCTTACTCATCACAATTGATTTAACATGATAAATTAAATTTAACGATTTGGTCGAGTTTAGAAGGTGTATACTAACTTTTTGATTCATTTCAATCTTATGAGTTATGCATATTATGGTTGGAAATCTTTGAGTATCGATACTGGACATTACAAAAGAAATTCAATTACTTACTGAACAACTGACAGATTGGGGTGATACATCGTAATTGTACACATACACCAACATTTTTACAATGACAAACTAAATGGGGAATTTATAGTATAAACTTTACCATAACAGCTTATTACTAAGAATAGTCCTATTACCATTAACCTTTATAACAATGATATTTTAGGTATGTTGTATGCTACAGGTTTTATTCTATTTCTACGTGGTTATGAAATTTCTGGACTTATTCATCAATGAACAATTTTCTAACCAACAAACCAACACAACCAAAAGTTACTGACACACCCACACTATCTTTTAATCTAATTATTATGATGATCGACCAGATATCACAACACATTAAGTATACCGGTACTAGCAAGTTTATTTGGAAACAATAGTATGGTACTATACAAATGAAGATGTCTATGAAAATATATGTTTACGTAACCATTATTAAATTTATATGCTCAAGTCTTGGTGTAATGTGTAATGTAAATGTTTCTGAAGACTTCTCTGCAACATGTAAGTTTTTAAAGTGATATTCAACAAATTTGCCTATTTTTCTACTACCTACAAATTAAATTTACCCTCGAAATTTGAAATGTTAATTTATAATCGTATTTACATTTAACTTGTGTTTTGGTGACAGCATTGTATTTATATATCTGTCCATCCATTTACAATCATGTTTGGGAAAAAATCTATACATTTTATTTACTCTAAAATTGACTCACTCAGAAAATCTTGGAAATTAAGTCTATTGATTTTGAGTAGTTGATGTTTTATGGAGTTTTCATGGTAAACTAAAGGTTGCCGGTTTGGACCGAAGAAAAGACAACAGTTGTTTTGATTACTCAAAACTGTACCTATAGATGTAATGTACCTTAATAATTGCCTAATCTTGCTGAAGACTAATTCATCTTCAGACATTAACAAGGAGGGTTATCATATCATTCCTTTATCATCTTTTTACATTTGTGTTTATACTTTCAGTGCTTGCTTGGGTTTTATATTAAACATTCATTCTGGTGGATTTGTGTGAAATGGCAAGTAGGGTATAATTAGCTCAAAATAAGATAAGTAAAATATGGGGTTTTCATGTGTTTTGTTACTACTATTACTAGCATTTAAGTGAAGAAAAATGGCTGAAAAACGATTGTTAGCTAAAAGAAACATTAATAAGGAATACTTTAGTGTGAGTTTACATACAACTTTTTCCATCTGGCATTATTTCTTACAACGTAAAGCTGTGTTATCATTCTTTGTCCTATCTGTAAAGAGCGAACTTTAATTTACTACAGCAATACGTGTTTCTGTTTTAGTGGACCATCCCATGAACAGGAATACAAAGCGGATGGGTATATTTCACAGTGAGCAAGAAATATTAGACATGTTAGGTGAAGAATTAGTAAGGTAAAGTTTACATATAATATATTACAGAAATTACTTGGAACATAAAAAATAATGCCCTATATAACCATAATCATACATTGTGTTTACCCTCATTTTGGGAAAATATAATAATCAACCATAAATGTGAAAGACCACAAGAGTTTTCTTAAATTCTTCAGCGATTTATAGTTAGTTAATTGTTACAATAGAAGATTATGTGGTTTTAGTTGAACAAAACTTTAATTTTAGTAAAGAAATTTTTAAACTAGGTAGTGTTAAGCTGGAGTCTTAGAGAGAAAATGGGTAATTATTTCATTTTGTTTATTAATGGTTTTTTCACGTTGTTTTATTTCATTATAATACTATCTATGAAGGCAAGGAAATCTGAGAGATGATGATGAGGAAAAGGAAAATAGTTCCAGTTAGACCTCAATTCTATACCTATTTTTTTATCAAGGAATGGCTTGAAGCAATCACCTTGGTCTAGTTACACAAGAATACTACATATTATTACTCTTTAACACATATCATTTCAAGATACACAACCGTATTTTACAAAAATGAGGTTCATTTACGATTTGATCTGTTCAGAGCAGAGGCACCCACAATGTGAGTGATCTTCTGAAGACCTACAAAGAAGAATGTGTTAGTCTTTCAGCCAACATTCAGAACACTGGTACTGATAGAATGAGAAGACCCTTCATAGTCATTGAGTCCAACTACAGGCCACGTAAGTATACTTTTCATGTTAAAAAACTACAATTTAGGGTGAAGCAAGAAGATCAATCAATTTTTGGCACTGCCTTGTTTAGTCACAGAGAAGTAAGGTAGGGAGGAAATACAGTAGTGGAACTACCGTGTGATTCAGCTCTAGTATGTTGTGCTGGAAATATACTTGCAACGAGCAAAGAAGAGCCCAAGTGACGAGCACTGTGCAAAAGTTCGTATCACACTGGACACTGGGTCTTTCTCCACCATGAATATTTGTATTACATTAGAGCGATTGGGAGCAGGTATTAGACTTTGCCCTATACACCAACGACTAACCATTGAATGTATCCTCTGTACCTTACTCCTCTGTAGTTGAGTGAGTGTTGGTGAGCTTGCTGAGGTGAATGAGGTTTCAAACCCTACTTGTGGAAACGTTTGCACCAATGGATTAGTGGTGGGAAAAGCATTAGGTGTTCATTATCAAATAGTTTCTCAAAAGTATTAATTCCTGTATTACGGTTCAGGGGCGGTTTTTGGGCGTCTTAATTTTTATTGAGCAGAAAGGGTCACGACACAATTTTTATATACTTCACCACACAGTGGCGTTAAGAATATGCCAAGGAACACTGCTCTTCAGCACTTTTAGTTTACCAATACTAAGGTCCTGTTTGTTTATATAAACGTCCTTGAGAAAATCCACTTTGCCGCTCTAGATGCAATTTAATTGATAATTGCTTTCCCAATTATTTCGATCTGCATAGTCATTGTACAAGGGTTACCATTTAACGTCAAAAAGGTGTGTGCTAATTTTGCTGAACAAAAGATTTTTTCTTTGGAAAGAAATGCAGAATGGCAAGATTTGTGGTATCAAACAGATGAGCCAAGCAGTAGTTTTGTGATGACCAATGGTAAGCTGTGTAAACTTCAACACTTACTTTACATTTAACGTACGCAAAACTTCAACATTCAGTAAACTGTGCCTTTAACTGGCTTCCAAAGCTTCACTCTCATAATCAATATTCTCTTATAGACAGATGACGGATGGCCTGTTATGACTCCCTTATGAAGTTTATCTGGGAGTTCTGAAGTTATACCCTCGACTCAATTGTGTTTCAAGAATAAACTCTTCCTTGAATTTAAATGCCTATGACACAATTATTGTACATAAACTTTATGAATTGCCACTTTGAAATTGCTTCACCCAAAAATGCATGATAGCTTACTCTTCTGACCACTGCTCGATGGCTACTAAAATCCTTCACTTCTGATGATAGGGCTCAAAATCATCATCAGTTATTTTATCTCACCGCACCCTGTGTTAAACTCCCAAATTATTCACTATGAATGAATTCTAAATTAATGATATTCATTTTTTATGGGGGAAATTGACGAAGACATTTTATTTACCAAGCATGACACAGGAATCCTTTTGTGAAAGGGTCGAGGCTCAAACGTTTTAGGACTATGAGGTATCACCCAGCAGCTATATGTCTTAATAATGATTTTTTTACGCACTTTGGTGGTAAAATAACAAAAGGTAATGGCAATTGACGGAAAAATAATTCCACACAAGGTAAATCAGATTCTATCTGAATTTAAAATTTTAAAAACATCTTACAACATTTATTATAAGTCGTACTTCAATATTTTGGATGTACGACAATATTTTGGAAACAACCGATTTGAGTACACTTTAAATTTTTCAGCAAGGAAGCTCCTAGCCAAACAACTAGCTGACATCTTGAACGGGTACTACATCTCAGTGCCTCCAAGGTGCCTCAGGGAGTATCTCTACACATTCGAGTTCAACCCTCGAATGAGAAGAGCATACTTTGGACTGGCAGTCTACGCTGCGGCCCATGAAGCACGATCTTCATATTACGACAAACCAGTTATATGTTCAGGGTGAGTGTTTTACTAATCTACCAGTCAGTTGAATGCTGAATTGTTCTTTATGATAAAATGTTATATACAAACTCAAGAGAGGTTACAATGCTTGCTTAGTAATCAGTATTGAGCTTGATCCTGAGAAAACTAGCTTTTTGATGGTTCAAACTGGGTCCAGCTTGAACATTGGACTATTAATGGTCCTGTCCAAGAAAACAGCAAATCTTATTCAGAAATTTTTTTACTATTGATAGATCTAGACACAATGAATCCTCATGTAAAAGTTGTTACCTTTTTTATCGAAATGGTTGTATTTGAAGTGAACCACCGACAGATTGAGTTGGTGTAAATTACTGATTTCTGTCCAATATGCTGACTTTTTAATAAATTAAAACTGATAGGACAACTCATTGTAAGCTATATAGCATCTTGTATGACAAGTCAACCATCTCAGTTACCAAAAATAAGGTCGCTCCCCAGAATTTTAAACATTAGCGCCATCTGTAACTGGCTCGCAGAGCTATGATATTTTTTATTTTATTTATGACAGCTGGTCCTCGTAGATGTTATGTCTACTTCAGTATACAAAAGTCAGTGATAAAACTTAAGATTTCTGGGTGAGGATTTCTTAACAATTAAAGTTTCTAAGTTGAATTCCCTTTCAGGTGAGATTTCAAAGAACTAAATTATTTGATAACATTGGTATACAACGTGATTGTTAAATTTGTATTAAATAATATATGTACAACTATTTTTTATAATTTGTTATGTCGAATCACACTATATTCGTAGGATTTGTGGATCGGGGGCTCAGTTACTACTCCGTGACAAGTGACGGACTGTAAAATCAAAGCAGAAATGTAGTGGGTTTTGGTCCTGGTGCTGTCACATTAAATTAATTACTGTATATTCTGCACTGTACCAGCTCACTCGATCCTAGCATTGCTTCATCATCCTACTCACAGATATGAGGTCCGTGCGGACAGGCTAACTAAAGATTGAAGCCACCAACCTCTTTGAAAATTACTAGTTGGATCATTGACAAACATGTTGTAACAGGTACTGGGCCGACCAGACCACGTTTGCTATTGCCAAGGAGTACGAACTAGATGATCTTCCCGAGAAGGGAGATTCTGTGTATACTTGGCCATCAGACTTGCTCAAACCTGATGTTAGCTTCCTTCTCAACGTTCCCTCCAGTGAACTAGAGCCTCAAGAGACAATACCCTTCCCTGACGACTTCCAGAGAAAGTAAGTTGAGAGGTTGAGTAAAATCTGTTAAGCTTTCAATTTCTAGAATAAGTTTATTGGTCCAGTGAACGCTGTTTTTCTTGCCAATTTCGAGAGGAAGTTGAAAGGTTGATTAAGAATTATTTCCAAATCATATTTAGAGGAAGTAAATTGACTGAAGTATATATTTAAGACAACAGTTTTTAGAAAAAAATAAAACCCCAAGACAGCCTTCAGAGGAAATAGGTTGAGTGGGTTAAGACCATATATTTTATTTTCCAATTTCTAAATTATTGTAATTCTTTTCTCAATACCTTACTTTATTTCCAGAAAATAAATAAAAATATGTCAAATAACACTTCAAATACCTATACATTTACACTTGTGCTGTTGACTCAGACGGTAAATACATATAAAAGATGGTAAGTGGTGACCGACTTTGATTGGACACTCCAATCATCGCCAGACCCAATAATTTTGTGAATGACTACTGTAATTCATGGTATTTCAAGTGTTATTAGACTTACTAGAGGGTGGTGTTCACACAAATACTTAGTGATTGATATTTGTGTTCAATAAAATAACTAATTATTTTGTAACTACAGCTCTAGTAAACTTGGTTGTGGACTGAAAGTAACCATGCTCAAGCTGTCACGAATCATTGCTCGATTCTTTTCAAGCAAAATGTAAACTCTTTCCTCTAAATTCCATGTTACTTGAAAAATTGCTGCAAATTTTTTATCGTCTATCTTCTTCTACCAATCCCAACCAGAACTACAATAATTTAACTACGGTTATAGAACAACTGTTAACCTCTTTTTGTTAAAAATTCAGTTATTTGGCTACTACAGTAATTAGGTTTTATTCAGTAAATGAGTATCTTAGTTAATTATACACTTTCCACATGATCTGTGACTTCATTCACTACTAATACCTTTAATATACTGTAATGGCATTTAAATTTTTGTGTAGTTTTTTGTTCGGTTTTCAGTACCTTAACCAAATCTGTTCTATTCAGGAGACTAAGGGCCTTCAAGCGCTTGAGGAAGCCTCGACTGAGAGAGATCAAGGAGATTTACTACTACGACACAATCCTAGCAGTTATGCAAAGCCAGATGCTGGACATATTTATGCACCCAAGGTGGAAAGCCAAGAATGTCAGATACTAAAATATACTTATCAAACCATACAACTCATTACTTCCTTCAGACTGCTCATGGATATTAGATAGATACGGTTAATAAGCCAATCAGTGACATAACAAAGCCTTATACGATGTTAAAAGACAATGTTTACTGTACCTATGATTGTGTCACCTATAATTTGAGTGGCAAGCAAGATGTACATGTGCAAAAGAACTCTTCTCCGACCTCTGGCACTTTTGTTATTTTGTACAGTCATCTCAAGAATTAATTGTCATTGGTTTAACTTAATACCACTAGCAACTTGTAGTTTGACACTCGATCTGTGTTGCTGGGGAGCCTGTCCTTCATACCTTGCACACGACGTCCTAAATTGACACATTTTTTTACTAAAAATACTGTCAACAATAAGCCCAAGCGTAGCAGCAGCTCTAAGCTTGACTCGTATTTCACATGTCACTATGTCAGGTAAAGCTTTAAGGAATTTTTATTGAGTCAACTTGGATATAAATGTACCTATATAGGTTCCGTTTTGTCACTCTTCATGGTTCATGGATCTCTTCATGGTTCATGGATATTTTGGGCTCAAATTATGGCCAATTTGTAAGGATACTTGTGTATACTTTGGCAAATTTGATGTGGATGTAGTGGATGACTATGTCCACATAATTATTTAGGCTGAGACTGGTTGATTCTTTGCAAGGACCATTTTTGTGACATTATAGCATCATTGAAAAGCCTAGCTTATTCCCTACATAGGGAATTCGCCAAAAGGAAGGGTAGTATTACCCACAGAGCACACGGCGTACCCAGGACATACTATTTGAGTGCCACATGCAGGGTATCGTGGATATCGTAAGGACACCCAATGTATATTGTATAACACCCACTTGTTAAGAGGTGTTTACCTTCATATAGCCATTTCACAGTCATTTAAGTTGTTTTATATATTATTCATAGCAAACATTAATTTAACACAAACATTTACTCACAGTTACTAATCGAGCTGGATGATTAACAGAGTTGATATTGCAGCAACACCACTCAAGAAAAGGTTAGCTGCTTGTATTAGTTAATTGTTGGCTAGGGTACACCCAACTGCTGTTGTCATCCATTGTTTTTTTTACTTCATGACAAGGAATTCTATTGTTCAGAGAAACCTTTACTGTCTCCTTAAATTACATTTTGAACAATGGGCACAGGCTCTAGAGGATGGTGTAGAAGATTCAATATGGTTGGAATTTTCATCTATTAGGTTTAAATATACCTCAGTTGCATCCTTATCTTCTTAAAATACTAATGAAAGTGACATATAGACTGATGTTGCTAAATGCATAAAACAGAGGAGCAAAATGAACACTCACTTACCCAGCTTAGAATTTATTTCAAACAATCATAACATTGAAAATGTGCTTACAACTTACAGACAGTTAATCCCAAAACCAAAAAAGTGTACTTGTTGTAGTTTGTAGTACAGTATAAAATATTTATTTCTGTGAAAACACACCAAGATTAGATTAGATTACAGCCACATTACTACAGTCATTATTGAACTTGCAGGCCATGTAAAACGATTATGATAATGGCCATGAGGCCATCTACTTTGTTGTTTTTGTTAACAGTTGCTATTGTTGTTGCTTCCATTTCTTCAAAAAGAATACTTAGGAAAGGGAAAGTAAACCCTGGAAAAAACAAAGAGAGTGCCAAAAACAAAGAGAATGCCAAAAACAAAGATAATCTCAAAAACAAAGCATATAAGAAGAAAGTAGTTGAAGAGGAATCAGAAGAGTCTTCTGAATATGTTTATTCTGATGAAGAAAAGAAAAAAGAATCACATGTTGAGGAAGATGAGGAAGAAGAAGAAGAAGACGCAACACCTGAGGAAGAGGAAAGTGAAGAAGACACAGATAAAGTAAGCGGAGAAGAAAAAGATGGAGAGGAAAGGTTGGGTGTCTTGCAAGACGAATCTGAGGAAGAAGATGAAAGTTTGTCAGCAAGTGAGGAATTTAAAGGTAATTTAAAGGCTTTTTTAATATAGATAATTTTAAATGTTTAAAAATCAATTACCATGGTATGTTCATAGTTTTGAATTAGTGTTTAAAGGAAGAAGACAAATAATTGTTACACTAGAGAATTACACTAACCAAATCTAATTGAAGATTAATTAAAGATAGTTTAGGAACATTCCAAAATGAGTGTTACAAAAATTAATTTTATACTTATGAAGGCTTTATTTATATTTTTTATCTAATTTAACTGATATAACATTTTAGGAAAAAGCAGAGAAGATCTTGAGGAAAAGGGAATTTTTTACAGCCTTAAGAGTATTAAAGCTTTCTTGACACAGCCAATGGTAAGTTCAGTATCTTAAAATTAATTTATTCTTTTAAGTAAACAAAAGATAATAGGTATCTTCTTATTTTTTCTCTGATTTGACTTTAAAAAAATACTTTTTGGGAATTGCAAAAACAGATATAAAATTAATTATTGGTCATATTTTATTAGAAGACTGCTTATTTCAAATGCCTGTATCATGCTTCTATGTTTGCTTACTACACTCAAAATTATTGATATGGGTTTACTTGTTGAATACGTGAGACCAAATTACATTTCTATCCTTCTTTACCTTTTCAATTTATTTGTTTTTGATCCATTTAAAGATCTCAAATCTTTGGATAGGTAAATTGTGTAGTTCAATTCATTCTAATTACAAATTCACAATTAATTTTGTAACTAGCTGTTCGTCAAAATAAGGATTAATAAATCACTAAATCCATTAAAGGAGGGGGGATATAGCAAACTAAATATAGGTAAGAAAAAATACAAAATATTCTTTTTTCTAAAGGTAACCATCTAAATCCTGTGAACATTTGTTATGCTTATCTTATTGTACTTGTATTGTACTATTAGTATCAAGAGGACGCAGAAATACTTGAAGTTCTCAAGAGATTCAACCATTCTGAGGTCCAAGCCCATGAAAAACATGAAGCTTATAAGAACAAACCTCTAGAAGCATTCTACGTAGTGGACGGAGTAAACCCAGATAGTAAGCCAAATATCTTTTTACAACAAAGTTTACATCAACGCACTTAAATACCAGATCACTATAGATGGGATTTTTATCTTAAAATAGAAAAATAAACTATAAAATATTGTAATAAAATAAATTTCATTTAAGAGTCAATATTATAATTGTATTTCTTTTTTTAGCAAGAAGAAAAGTGGCCCAAACTCTGGCTCACAGGTTGAAAGGCTTATATTTAGTTAATCAACCAAGGATTTTACTCGGTCCTATTCCTAAGGAATCTGGGGCTAAAAAGGCTTACTTCGCACTCAGCAAATATGCCATTGCCAATAAAATCTTGATATCACTCTACCATAAACCTGTGGTCGTAGAGAAGTAAGTATGTTTTTTTTCAATAGGTTTAATGATTTATGCAATCAAGTTGTCGTACTGTTAAAATAATTACAATTTTGGGTCTAAGTCTGAATTTTCTTTAGGGAGAGTTCTGTTCAAGATCAGCTAAAACAAATATTTATGGGTATTTGCAAGTTTTAACTGTTGTTAGGAAAGTATTTATATTTTCCAAACTGCGTACAGTTTTATTTTTTATTTTTTTTTTTTTTTTCCTTAGGAGGCTAGGCACGAGCCCGGAATCGTTTTTCACATTACTTCAGGCTAGAAGTCCCGCGCTTTAACCACTAGACCAGCTCGCTCCACAAACTGCGTACAGTGGAATTAGTTTTATTTTTTATTATTTATTTTGTATTTATCGAATAATAAATTTCCCACATTGGGAATTCTATTACCTTACCCAAAGGTAAGACTTCATGGTAAGACCTGATTTACTGATTTACTTTTTTTGTTTCGAGGTCCCCAGGAGCCAAAAACACTGTTCAATTAATATCTCCCTATATTATACAACTACTCGTATTATAAAGTCTAAATATATATTTTGAGTTCTGTTAAAACTTATACATGGTACTTATAATACTTATATGGTATAACTTACCGGTTTTGAGGTTAGGTGGTGTCGTTGCCTCTTCTCCTCAACCTGGCCTGTCTGGACCTGTCCTTGTAGGCAAGGCTGGGCTTTGTGGCGGGTGGTTTGGAGAGTTTTTTTAGTGCGTTAGGTTTGTGGATGGGTGTTTAGGTTGGGGAAAGTTTAGTGGTGGTACAGGAGGGCGTCGTGAAGGTTCAGAGGAGTTTTTTGCGCGATTCCGCCCTGGGAACGGTGACGCCGTGGTAGTTAAATGACTTTAGGGGTTAGGGGTGATGGGTTCTGGCGTCGGGAAGGTTGAACGATGAAGGGGTGCGACACAGCGGATTGAACCACGACGCCGGGGCTGGGAGTGGTATTGGTTAAGTATGGTAGAACTTGTAAAGGACAGGGACGCGTTTTTGAATATCGGAACCTTTTCCCGGCAACACAGACGTGTTAGAGACGACATCGGGGGTGGAAAGGTATCTAAGAGATACTAGGTAACAGATCCCGGTAGGGGTTTAGTTGGGGAAACTTTCGTGCGGGATACCGGACAACGGGTTTGGAGGCGACGCCGTTGGTAGAAAGGTATCAGTGGAAGGTTAGGTAAAGGATCCCTTAAGGGGACTTCTGAATTCGTTTGGGACAACTTTCAGGAGGGATACCGGACGACACTGGGGGTTTGGGGGTGACGCCGGTGGTAGAAAGGTATCAGGGAAAGGATCCCTGAAGGGAACTTTTGGATTCGTTTGGGGAAAATTTTGGGAGGGATGCCGGATGACACTGAGGGTTTGGCGGCGACGCCAGTGGTAGAATGGGGTCGGGAAGGCAAGTGGAATTAGTCGGTAGGTAGGGGAAGGTGTAACGGGTACAGGGAGTGAATGGGGCACGTTACAAGGCTTACTGGTATGCCTATATATTTGGTATGATATATTGTATATATATATATGGTATGTTTATATATATTTAAAAAAAAACTATCTTGATATTTATTAGGTAACCATTTTTGCTTAAATTTGCCATATGTATAACACTAAAATATCTTTTTTGTTTTCAGCTACTGGATA